ATTGCACTGGGATCCATGCGCATCGCCACATTACGCACACGCAAGCGACCGGTCAACTGGCACAGGCCGGCTTGAATGTAGATGTCAAATGGTGATAAAACACTTGATTTTCACACATGTTCTGTCGTCGGCCCGCCCAATCTCCAATCTTCACTTCAGGTTGGCTAATTTCTCCAATCCAATCCACTCGGTCCCAGTTCAGTTATCGCCTCCTGCGCTCGTCCGGTCTAATCTCCACACTCTAATCGCTGCCAATTCGCATGTACACACGTGTGTTTTTCTGTAAACACACTGCCAAAGCGAGCCGCCACAGCCCCTTGGTACGATCTCGTGTTGCTAGGGCGGCCTGGCGATTATACGCCGGGCTGGTGGACGAGGGTGTCGCGACGAGTCCGCCGCTGGCGACGGCCAATGGGGGCGGAATGGAGGCCGTTAGCTGCCCCTTCTTTCCTACCACCGACCAGGCTTTGGCACCGCCTCGTGTTGTGAGGCGAGCAAGCTGGGTAGAATGGGCATACCCCACCCGTTCATCCCAGACAAATCGACGTCCCTTGCACCGATAAGCTGCGTGCTCAGCACCCAACTGCAGAAGCACTACTTTATGCTCTGATGAGTAGTATGTGTCAACGATTTGCTTCCGTTCCGATCTCGAAAAGACCGAGTCTGGAGCACCCGATCATCGGACAAATGCATCCGACATTATTCTGTTAAGAGAGACTCGACATAAGTCAACTTGTTTTGGATTAAAGGGAGCTTCTAGGCAATCTCGAATTTTTTTTAGGATTATGCTATAGCACCAAGACAGGGGTGTGATTCAAAGCAACTGTTTGATGTTCTAGGTTGCCATTTATACCACATTTGCACCTTGCCCTATTAGTTCCCATCGTCATTTCACAAACGTGAGGATAAGCAAAAGGCATTGGCATATTAAGACCTACTCATTCCACTGTGGGGAATTCAGCCATCAGTTCTGACTCCAGATCTACTCATCGTCATGAAATATAATTTCCGCTGGGAAATCATTGTCATGTTGTGAGATTCACTCATCCTATTTCAGTTAGGATGATGATGAGTAGTATGTGTCAATGAATTGCAGATTAAACCTCACCAAGCATGCCCTTGGGTCAGAGGGAAGATGTGAATTGCAAGGAAGACCAGACATTTTGCCATACTACATTCTGTGGTGGGATTTTAGATGAAGCAAAGTTTTTTTCTTATAGTAACCGAATGTGTTACTCATTTTTCGTTCAGAAGTAGGCTTTTTGTCCACAACTATCGTTTTCCGTATTTTCTATGGGGTGTAACCGGTACATTTACCTAAAATTGGCCAAACAGACGGCCTATTTTTTGATGAATTCAAGTGGCTCTTTCTTCTAGGATCGGCTTTAGTTTCACTCTCCTCCAGATCTTTGTAGTATTGCAAACAGGAATCGTAACCAGCCAACCCAGTACTCGTTCTATTCTGATGCAAAAGGGTTGTGTGAAAAACTTTGCCCATCAGTAGGCATGAAATAGCCAACCAAATCATGGGATTCGTCAGTAAGATTGCAAAATTGAATATAAGAACTTAGTGGGCTTGCAGCCAGCCACCTTTTTTTTGGTTTAGTATATTGGTATGATTTTTCGCTCTGTCGATACATTTCACGATGTGGCAGACAAAATATTATCACATGAAGCCAAGTTATCTTTCCTATAGTAACCAAATGTGTTACTTATTTTTCGTTTAAAAGTAGGCTTTTTGTCCACAACTATCGTTTTCCATATTTTCGAAGGGGTTTAACTGGTAAATTTACCTAAACTTAGCCAAACAGATTGCCTATTTTTGGTGAATTCAATTGGCTCTTTATTCTAGGATCGGCTTCGGTTTCACTCTCCTCCAGGTCTTTGTAGTATTGCAAACAGGACTCATAACCAGCCAACCCAGTATTCGTTCTATTCTGATGCAAAAGGGTTATGTGAAAAAGTTGGGATGATAACAATCCTTTTTAGTTTGCACATCAGTTTGTGGTGATTTATATTGAACCCAGAGGGTGACTATCGTTACTAACGCCTTTTTTGAAGATGAATTTAGTTCTGGCAAAGCCGAACTCACTTAGCTCACACGAGGTTTGGATGACAAAACTTGGGCGATATCGGAATTGCCCACTCGAGATGGAATCCACTGATAGCAACAAACCCTTTTCTCACTCCATCCTGGTTCATTCGACAGTCGGTGTCAAGCCAACCAAATCAACAAACAATCCATTTTCTCAATAAGCTTGCAAGTTTGCTTAAGACTTTCTGAGACAACGGTGATGAAAAACGGCCTCATGTGGCCGATTTTATTTTACTTTGAGCAAATTTATTGGCAATCTCCTCTTAACCACTTGCATATGCTTTCACTGCTTTAGAGCTGGCAATAAATCATCAGGCCCTTCACTGCCCGACGCGAGGCTGCAACGGGCAAGGTCACGTTAATGGAAACCGATCTTCACACAGAAGGTAAGCCGAACACCCTTCACATTACAAGGCTTTTACAATTTGCCACACTTGAAATAGATTAGCTGTGTGTCTTAAGATAGACACAACTCGTTTGTGGTCAATCTGCATCACGAATTGACTTCTTTCCACATGCAGATAGTACATTATATAAAATATTCTGTATAGTACTGTAGTATACGAACAATATACTATCAAGAAGTGGTTGACCCCGTTTTCGCAACTTGGTCTTGTTGTCTCAGCGACTTAGTTGAGCGCACCTTGTCCGAAGTCTTCTGCCATAGTAACTATCACAATTCCAGGCATCAGATCGTGGAATTGGTACATTCTCAGACATTTTGCCGACATCATCTGTCAGTTCTGCCAGTCTCCGCAACAAGCCACAAACGCGTCAGAGACAAGTTAAGTCAATCCCTCGACCAAAGTTCTGCTGAATGCGGTTAAAATACCATTCCTCTTCCTGTCCGAGTGAAATCGAGTGGCAGATGTAATGAGGCCACACTAAAGTGGCCAACAAGGGGCATACATTTTGACGAGTTAAATGTAAACAAGTCATATGTTTTAATGGGGCGTGATTTGGATAAGAGGGTAAAGAGTTGATAGATGGACCAGGACAGAAGGAGAAGTGATTGTGTAACCGTTTTCGTCAGAGCGTCAGTCGAGGCATTGACTTCACTTGTTCGTAGGACTCACAGATGAGTCCGGATAAACGTCGGATAATGTACCAAGTCAACGGTCTGATGCTGAGAATTATGAAAACTACTATGACAGAGGAGTTCGGAATAGGTGCGTTCTACTAAGTCGCTCTGACAACAAGACCAAATAGCGGGGGCCATACCATCTTTGTCTTCATATTTTTAATACAATTTATCTTTCGCTTATATGCAGCATTTTTAGACTACCAATAAATCAGTCATATCAGATGTATTCACCTTATTTCGTTTAAGGTGATGGTAATTGACATTTCCCACAATGATTTCACATAGTCGTGCTTTGACAAAAGTTCTTCTCATCCAGAGTGGACAACAGTTTCGACTTCTCCCAACAACCCCAGCGGGAGTCGAACCAGCGCAGTGTGTATGCTCGAAACGTTAACCACTAGGCCAGACTGCCACGAGTACCCTTGGGTCACAGGTCAGATGTGAATTTTAAGGAAGGCCATATCACATTTTTTGATGGGATTGTCGATGAAGCAAAGTTATATTTGCTATAAAAATCGACTACATTAGCCTATACTCTAGACACGTCAACCACTACGTCATGCTGTCTCCAGTGCTCTTAAGTCAGAGGGAATGTGTGAATTTGAAGGAAGGCAGATTGCCGCCGAGGATTACCTCATCGGAAATCCCACCACAAAATGTGATATAAGGAAATGTCTGACCTAGAAATGTAGAAAAACTGGGTTTCGAAGACTCCCTTAATAGAAAATGAGATGTATTCACCCTATTTCGTGTAAGGTGATGAAGGACTGGTAGTAGAATTTTCCCACAAT